TCTAAATCATGGTAAACATAAAAGGTCCTTGAACCTGCAAATGCATCTATTTATAGACAACTAAATTTAATAGATTTGATTGATTCAAACCCATCACTACATTTAATACATGCAGAAGGTATTCCGCCTTTGCTGTAATTCCAAACGTGCCAAAAATATAGCAACATTTTCCTATCTTAATTTTCTCTATTCAGTTGCCCATTTTTAGCAGAATACACCAGCAGAATTTAATGAAAATGATCCTACCACTAAAATACAAAAAAACTAAAATATTTTTTAAAAATTACTTCTTCTTTGGACCATTTCTTTTCTTTCATTTACATTTACAGCAAGCTCTCCAAAAGCATGTCAGACGCCTTCACTACTTCCAGCAGTGAACTAAATATCACTCTTCCTTTCTATGCTTCAATGTATTTTAGCTACCACAGTAGCTCTTTTTGAGCAGAATCCAACAACAAAATATTGTTGGTATAACTCCAACCCGACCTTAAAGGTCTATTTTTCAGTAGTTGGAGAGCTATGTAAGGAAGTGGTGCCAGAAATATAGCTTGGATTTAAGCAGTTTAGTTATACTTCGTTAAGTCTGTAAATAATTTTTTTTGTTTAACACACTTCTGATTACTTTCTTTTATTATTTATATTTTTAATATACTCTCTTGCAAACTAATTGTTGTCTTGGGAGAACCCACCAGAAAATCCAAGAACTTTCTGGTTTGATTGGAAAATAGTAGCAAATTTTTAGAGCTTATAAATAGATTATAGTTTAGAATAAACTCTATATACAAGTCATTTAGTGGCATAACAAAGCCACTGTCAGGACTTAGCGATCGGCGATCCCTCTGAGTAACATCTGGGTTTTGCCGACTGGAATCTCCACCCCCTTTGTGACGCGATCTTCTCTTGCCTTATAGGGAAGTCGCGCCACGTGTTAGACGCTGAGTTATTTTGTTACTTACCTTACAAGTGACAGTTTAGCTCCAAACTCCTTTGAAACTCTGTGTACCGACCTCTGCTTGACTCTCCAATTTTGCCGACTTCTCCTGCCTATTGGAAACCGACTACTCTTAAAGGAATTCCCTCATCCATCATAAAGCAACATTAAAAGGGATTGTTCAGTCCTATTACGGTAATCAAACCCAACTATAACCATAACTGGAAACTATTAAGAGACTCTATCCTGCTACTAACCTAAGCTGCTTGCTAAACTGAGTTTTCACTTCCTGTGTGAACTTCTGACAATCTGCTTAAAGACTCAATTCCTTTGCATGTTCTGTATCTACTACCCTGAATTATTTCAATTACCCTGGCTATTCTTTACTAAACTGTTCCTAATTACCTGCTTATTCTGCTGAAAGTAATCTGCATACAAATATTTATTTTGTGGAATTTTCTTAAAGAGGTACATACAACAACATTTCTGCTGTTCAGTTCCAACATTTCTGTTATAACCTTACAGTCACATTATTACAATGTCATCCAAATAGATAATTATTCTGACTCCCTGCCTTATTTGCCTTCACCTTCACCCAGAGGCTGGCAATATGTAAAAAGGCAAGAAGATGAATTAACATATCCATCTCTTCATTAATAATTGGAGAAAAGGTTGATAGTACAGAGTCAAAGGTGTTGTTATATAGGCATTCCTCACATACAGAA